GCAGAGCTTAATCTACAGTATACAAGCTGACAACTGGTGAAGAGAGGTTTATGTAATTTTTGCTAATATTCCTCTCTGGCGATTACATCACCGCCATGGAGTCCTCAAAGCTGAGCTGGTCAATGCCTGAGACGTTAGGGCTTTCTTCCCATGACCCGATACAGTCTTCCTGCCCTCTGCTCTACGGAAGGCTTGCAGTAACGTCTGCAGTCTTGCTAAATGCCTAAAATGATGGAGCACATTTGATTGCGCTGCCTTCAGCCTGTGTGAAGGCTGTGATTTCAGTCGTCACTATTTCTACAGAGTGGCCTACATTCGTTTCAATGTCTCCTGAAGGATGTTAACTAGTGAAATAATGGCTTACTGCTCCCCGTATTCTAATGATGCAGTCATTCGATCGAACCTATAATTTGAAGAATTTGTAATGACAGCAGTTAAAGTCAGTGGTACTAAAAAACTTTATTTATTGCATGGGTAGGCTCTAGTCCAGAGGAGAATTCTCCGCGGTGTTGTGGTCAGATATGCATGTGTGTCACCCAGTGCTGCTAATGTTGGAGGGAAATGTGCGTGTGCAGTCACACTGTGACACCTTTGTTTGGTTCTGTGATCTTTAATCGACCCTCTGTGTGCACAGTCATAAATAAGTAGACATTGTAGCCAACTGCAACACATTTGAACAACCAAATTGCAATTTTTAAAGATGAATTCCCATGAAAATTATTGCAGATTTTTGTTTCCTTCTTGCCCTAGATGTGGTCCTACCTTTCAAAACTAAGGAATTCATAGTTTGATATTGTTCCATGTTTAGATACTGTCTTACATGTCCTTTGGGGGAGAAAGAGAGTCACAAGAACTCTGAACACTCTACATTCTGTTGGTTGAAAGTGGTACTGGGACTACATTAATTCTTCAGTGATTGATTGACATTTTCTACAGTAGACTGTGCAGTCCCCAAGGGGACTGAATATGATCCACAGAAAAGTGGGACTCTACAGAAAAATTTTAGAATGAGTTTCATTTAAGAGACTTCAAACTAACTGATTGGTAATTGGATTAGATATCCTCAAAAAAGTTTGACATTTTATAATTATGCAATAGAAATGTGATTGCATTTACTTTTAAGATCTATAAAGTAACTTTTAAAATGACACAATTTCCACAAACTTAGCACCTTCACCAAATGTCAACCCCTTACGTAATGCTGATATTATAAAATCATGAATATTGATGTTATTTATAACCTGCTTCAAATGTTGCAACCATGATATACTTGTGTTTCTTGGCTGGCTCATGTTTTTCATTCATTCTCGTGGCTCCATCATTGTTTTGACTTAGAGAATTCCCCCAGACCTTTGCCTTCGTAACGTCGATGCTTTGTAAGAATGATGGCCAGTTGCTTAGGAGACTGTCCCTCAATTGCTTTGTAAAGTTTTCCTTTCTGACTAAACGCAGGCTGTTCATTCTGAGTCTGAAATCCCAGGAGGTTTGAGCTCACCCAGGAGGCTGAGGCTTGTGATGGCCAGTTGCTCACTTGGTTGCTGTGGTGTATGTCATTTTCATGCTTATACTCTATTGGCTACTAAGTGTCTTGTGGGAAGGCTGCCTGGGATTATCTAATATCCTATTTTTCCACTTTTTCCATGATTTTTTTTTCCTCACTACTTTTAACACTCAGAACTGATTCTTGCCTTCAAAACAATTGATAATGTTTCTATCAAAATTCCTTTCTTATGGTTCTTCCTATGCTTTTTCCATGTGAATTCTACTCTGCCTTCTTTCTTCCGGCATTCAGCTTAGTTTACCCTGCCTAGCTCTATTCTGCCTGGCATAGGCCCAAAGCAGCTTCTTTATTAACCAATGGAATTCACAGCATAACGAGGGGAATCCCACATCAAATAGTGGAGTAGTTGTATCATACAATAGTTTTTTTAATTCTTTTTTTTTAATTTTGGAGGATATTTCTTACTGACTTTTTACAATGGCTATATTAACATTCCAATGGCAATGTATAAAGTTTCTTCCCCCCATATATTTACCAGCATTTATTCTTTGTTCTTGATGATAGTAATTCTGACAGGGCAAGGTAGAATGTGAATGTACTTTTGACTTGAGTTTTCAGGGTGGTTAAATGTGTTGAGCATTTTTTTTAAAAATATACATACTGGTCATATGTACTTCTTTTTAAGAACTATCCAGTTGATTTGCCAATTTGTTGGTTGGGTGTTTGGGGGTTCGGGTACTTGAGTACTAAAAGAGCTATAGATTCTAAATATTAATTCAGTATCAAATGTCTGGTAGCCACAAAGCTTCTCGCATTCTGTAGGTGTTCTTTTCACTCTCCCAGTTGTTTCCCGTGCAATTCCATTTGGTAATTCTTTTTATTATTTTTGGGCTACTGGTGTTCATTTCCGAATTCTTTGCCTATCCCTCTATTGTAAAGTGTTTTGCGTTTATTCCAGAAGTCTTTGGCATTTTCCTGGAGCACGGTATGTCTTACATCAAAGCGTTTGATCCCTTTTCATAACTACTTTGTTCAGACTGAGAAACTCTCTCCTTTGTCATCAATATATTTAATCAATCGCACAGCCCTCAAATGCTGCACAAAGAATCCTCATACGTAAAATTTCATACCACTATGAAAATATTTAGCTGGAGTACAGTCTGTATGAACATTTCTTATTATTAAATCTATGTGATCACAGTAATGTTTCTGAAAATTCCTTAGTTTAGCTCCGTTCTTAGATTTCTAAGTGTGACTAGTTATAATGCAAGGCTCATATTATTTGTGAATTTCTGAACTTTATGTTATGTGTTATTGTATTGATTATTTTAATATTTGAAGTCATATTGTTGTTTCCTGATTTATGTCAGCCATATGTAGAGATATCTATCATTTGCTTACCAATTCAATTTGTCTGCATTTCTCTTGAAAATTGTTCATTTTTATGTAGGTTTTTAAACATGTGTGCATGTATGCCCCTAGAGTGGTCTCTCATACTTTTACTTTATTTCATTTCATTTTTCAGTAGTTAGTTCCTTTGTAATTTTTCATTTTTATATAGATTTGCCTTTTTTATTTTTCCTGGTCAGTTTTATGTCTTCCTTATTTTGTTACAGTTACTTTTTAAACAACTAGAGTATTGACTTTTGGGTTTTGTTTTTCTGATTTACTTTTGTTATTTCCTATCTTTGTCTTCAATTTCTTCCTGTATGCATTCTTTTTTATTTAACTGGAAATACGATTTTTTACTTTAGACATTTCATTCACCCTATAGAATATTTATTGAGAGAAATAAGGCAATATGTTTGGATCAAGCAATTTTTTTTTTGTGGAAAATAGCTTACCTTTTAAAAATTTTACTGTATTTCTTGCAAGTGTGGAAGACTCTATAGCTGGGGACTGTGGAATCCCATCGCTGGAAGTGGGGGATGGGCAGTTACAAGTTCAATATTAGCTAACGTTCCTTAGCCAAATCCTGTTTCTAAACAAAATAAAACTAAACTATCCCAAACCAAAAGAACAACAACAAACAAACAACAATAGCAACAAAAGCCAACCAACCAACCAAACAAGAAACAATGTAAAAAGTAGGTGGTGTAGAGGAATAGAGCCAAGAAAGAGACCAGATATAGCATGGACCTTGAAAGTCTGACAGGCATGGTTGAAGCCCCAGATCCACTCTTTTCTTGTCATCTGACTTTGGCACGTTCTAAACTTGGTGGTTCATCGTTTCTTTATTTGTAAAACAGAAATGAAGACACCTCATCTCTATGAGTACTGAGATGATTTCTAAAGATCACCAGCCAAAGGCGTCATATTGTATGATCAGTGCATCACATCACCTCTCCTTCTCCATTGTAAGTTTTCAGCAACAGCAGGAGAGAGAGAGACGGACAGAGACAGAGATGAGACAGAGAGAAAGAGATACAGAGAGAGGGAAAGACACACACACACACAGAGACAGAAAGTATAATAAGTATTCATTGAATACTTTAAAGAGCTTGACTTAGGGGAACTTAATTTTGTTGTTCCACAGGTGTCTCCATAGAATATAGAGTTTTCCCAAAGAGGTCAAATATGCGGGATTGATTGTCACAAAGTGATTGGAACCCTGACCGTGACTCAGAGATCCCACTCTTTACTTCCAATCCACATTATTCTCCTCTTGTTGGATAATTGCACTTTTTATTCAAAACCGACTCAGAGTCTGAATATGAATTATAAATGGTTGGCTGGTAGCTCAGGCTTACCATTGGCTAACACTTACACTTTACCCATTTCTATTAATCTGTGATCTGTGTGTTTTCACACGGCTTGGGGCTTGTTGTTTCATTCCTACACATCTTGCTTGCTGAGCAGCTGGCTGGCACCTCCAGACTCTTCTTGTCTCCTATCCGACGTTCTCAGTTTGACTTTCCCACCTAGCTTTATCCTGTTCAGCTGTTGGGCAGTCAGTTTCTTCATCAAACCATACAGTGGCAAATATTCTCAGTGTATAAGATTATTACCACAGCCTTCGGCGTTATTGATACTTTATTTTTAATTAGCGTGTAAAACACACAACACTGTTGGCTGACCTAGCCTGTTTGTTAAAAGATAAGAAACAGGAGCTGTTTCATAGATGTATCCGTTAGGACTAGGCCCTGCAACTCTGCAGTTTGATCATTTTGTGACTAACAGTATACAGAACGAGCAAGTTATATTTAGGAATATATACAGAAATGCATATGTGCATCTGACAACAAAGAAAAAAGAAGCCATCGATTTGAAGCAGAGCAAGGAAGAATATAGGGGAGAGTTTGGAGTGAGGAAACAGAAGACATAAATGATTGATTATATTATAATCTCAAAAATTAAAGAAATAGTGTAAAGAATAACAACCGTAAGCTGAGTTGCCAGTGTGTGAATAAATGTGTACAGATTATGTTGAAAGAATAACTGTGAGACTCTGTGAGCAGATTCCCATTCTTACTTTTCTTTACCACCTTCTCTGTTTCAGAAACAGTGAGTGGTACTGCTGGACCACTTCTAGTGACAACAGTTCATACCTTTTCCTGGGACACTTTCTTCAGAAGACCAGCACACGTCCAGTTTGCTCGGCTATCCTCCGAAATTAACAGGGTTCTTCTAGAGTGGACATCTTTAGTCTCAACAAGACTGGTAAGAGGGTAAAAATACCTTTGCTATTTAATGTCATGGTATGTTCTGTAAGATTTCTACTTTTTTTTTTTTTTTTGCTGATTGGAAAGATCCATCAGATAGAAATCATTGATGCCTTGATTGATATCTTCATCAGTAGCCAAGCAGATGCTCATCTATTTGAAAGTGTTGTTGTGCATAAAGTAACAGAGCTAACATTTATTGTTGGTAGAGCTTCCTATCAGGCGTTCTTCCCTGTAAAAACGTGTTTCAGTTTCATGAAACCTATAATTGCCACAGACTATGTTGGTTTTACCTCTGTAAAACTAATAGCTGTAAAATGAGGAAGCAATTTCTTTAAAATTGGCTATGATGAAAATGTGTGTGTTGTAATTACCTCTATGCAAATTGTTTTTCCTACCTGGGTTTTCCTCATTGTATTGCTCGTATCTGTAATTTATTCTCAAGCCTCTTTCTTCAGCTTTGGCATACTGTGTTATAATACATAAAATTGCCAGATATTCCTATCAGGGCTAAGTATAAGTGAGGCGGGGCTGGGAAAAGACTGAGGTGGAACCAGATGGTAGAGCAGGAGTCATTCCTGCGGGATTCCTGAGGAGAAGATAAAGCTGAATAAAGATAGCTCTCCATCTTCTAGACACCGAGCGGCTTCCTGAGAACAGAAGCCTGGGGATGAAACCCATTGATGGCTCACAGCATGAAACCAGTGGGTGGACAGACCTTGGGACATGGAAGCCACACAAAGGGGTCCCTTCTCATGCACACAGGTTATTCTTCACCTCTCATATCTGAGACTTTGGATCTAAATCAGTGCCTCGAAGACATAAATCAGGAAGTAACTGACTGTGTGAATGGAGACAATCTCCTAAGGTCCACATTTATCTGCAGTGTCCAGCAACTTTTTCTATATTTTTGATGATAGCAAGGAACTTATTTCCTCAAAATGTACTAGTAAGAAAGGCCTAGGATCTTGGAGTTTGAAGGTGCGTAAATGCCATTGTTCACAATACAGTGACTGAGAATAGTCTAGAGTCAGAGTAAAGATTATAATTTGATTTATGACCTTGGTACCTTCTAGGCATGACTTATGGGTTGTTTTGAAAATTGAAAATCAAACAAACTAATTCATAAATAGAGTCTCATACTAGGTCTGTTACTCAATGAGTGTTCAATAAGTAGGCATTATTTTACGAAGCCAATGTACAAATATTTGAATTGATGTTTTTAGGCTAACTGATCTTGATCTCAATGCAATTTTTTTTCTGTGAGGACTTCTCATCTGAAAGCTTTCTTATGTTGCGTTTTCCTTACTCTCACACAGCCCTCCCGGTTGGAACACATTGCTAGAGTTCTCAAGGGTAAATCTGAAGTCTTAAATCTGATGAAGATGTGTCTGAAGATGACTGTAGTTTCAAGTTTATCGTCATTTTGTCACTTCTACCCTCTCGATTTCTTGAGCAGAGTATCTGACTTTTCTAAATGCCCTTGTCTTTGAAACAAGAACAATAGACTATTTACCCACATTACCATCAACAATAAATGCTACAATCCACAGGGCATGCCGCAGTGTTGTCAAATGCCGGGTAGGCACCGTGAATATTGCCGTCGTCATGATCATAATTATGCTTTAATACATGCTCAGCTGCCTTTGCTGTGGTTGCCGATGTGCTTGGTCTACTTGGTTCTGGTTCTGGAGGCTCTCATTGCAGATGGTGTCTCACATTTCCGGGGTGCCACCATTGCCCAGCAGGTGCTGCTGGCCTTTAATTTGTCAAACCGAAAACAAGCGTCTCAAAATGTTTTTAATTTAGCTTTGGAAACATCGTCATTTAGGCCCTGAGTGCAGGGTGTTTAAGCAAAAATCTCATCTGTGATGCTGCTAAATCATCTCCATGGAAAACTACTTATAAGCTTTCCAAATGTTACCACTTCCAAGGGAAATTATAAAACATTGATTTTTTTTTCTAAAAGTCACCTTTATACTTTGATTCCAAAACAGCAGATTTTTTTCCAGCCCTTTTTTTATTTAGCATTTCCAGACACTGACTCCACCTTCAAGGTCATAAGACAAACATTCAGTAGGCATGTTCCACCACAGTCCACCACCCCTCCTCTATTGGTCTAACTTGGCACTCAGTTTTGTCTATGTGGTTTTGTACTTTTAGAATCTGGCTCTCTATTCTACCCTTAATGTCAACACTGATTTGGTTTATGATTTAAGACGTAATCAAGAAGAGAACTGTACCTGGTAGTAGACAAGTAGCAAACCACCCATGGCTAGTGAAGTCAGGGATCACAGTGGAGAGCCTACAGCTGCCACTTTACTAAATCATAACTAGAATCCATAATTGCATTCTAAATATGAGTCCTTAAACCCAAAAATAAGTGTAGTCCTCACCCCTCATTAAGAAAAAATAGTCATTTTCCAAAAACGTTGCGCAAAGCGAAAGCCCTAACACTAAACTTCCTTCAAGCCCCAATGAATTCACTTTCTAACCATGTCTGAACATTAGAATCATTTTCTCCTTAAAATCGCTACAATTCCTTATTGAATAAAATGATTTTGTCTGGCAACATCTTTTTGAATTTTAAGATTCTGTCAGAATAATCCATGTGCATGTTGCTATTATCAGTACTGCGTGGGGATTCTTGTTAAAGGTACAAGTATGAAGAGCTATCAAACCTTTTACAGAATTCCAAGGAGAAGCATTTTCTGTGGATTCTACGTCATACATAGTTATTGTTTGTTTTCGAGGCTGCATGCCTCTTCTGTCTGGTGGTCAATGGTTTGGCCTCATTACATAACTTGTTTCATCAGAGTGAATCTTAGTTTTGACTTTCAATATTTTAATGCTAAATATTAAGTCCATGTTGACTTGCTGAGTCTTGAAGCTTTAGAAACCATGACTTTGGTACCTGTGAAGTTTTGTAGGATGGGGCTGGGAGTGGGAAATGTTTTTTGTTGTTTTTGTTTTGTTGTTTTTGTTTTATGAATCTATAGCTGACCCTAGACTCACTGTGTACACAGGCTGACTTTGAACCCAGAGAGGTCCAACTACTTCTGCCTTCAAAGTCCTATGATTACAGATGTGTGCCTGGCTTATGTCAGTGGAATTTTAAACAAAAATAATTTTGTTAAAGTCTGTGATTTTAGTAAATCTGATAAATATAGTTTGTGTTATATTAGGAAACAGCATTGTGTTTAATTATGGTAAGTGATCTTGAAGTTTCGAGAACTATAGTCCGTTCTAGACTCCCACCCAGAGTAGGGATTGTTAATTGTCAGGTACCAGCAAGGCAAGGAATTTTGCTACAGTGCCCCTAACATTCTGAAGACCTCTGTGGGAAGATTTCTTTTACTTGAACTGTTGTGTCCACTGAAGCCCACGGAGTAGAGATATCTTGGTAGCATTTTAGTCTTCAGTGATTCTTCATCGCATACATGTTTAGATAGCCCTATGGCAGATGGGGAGAACGCCTTTTCTTCCAGGAGGCCAACTCTCTTTACCTGAGCCCCTAAGTTCTCAACACATCTTGCTTTATCATAGTAATTAGCAGACAGCGGTCCATATCTAAACAATGACTATAGGACCCTCTTTCCTATTCCAGGACAACAGAGTATCTTGCCTTGTGTACACTGACCTCCAGTTCTTCTTCCCCTCCTGCTACATGGTGGAGTGACATAAAGAATGATTTCTATTGACAAAAACCAAAACCAAAGTTATACAGAACTGACGAGCTACTAGTTTTTCCTGCATGAATGATATTATTTTATTGCCAGAAGGGAATATTTAAATATAAGTGAAAACTTGTTCCTGAATTATTAAGGCCAATTAAGTAGATGGTAATTTATGGGCTGTGGTCAAAACCCAGTCTTATTTGAGCCTAAATTCCAGGCTTTTCTATAAATGGAAGTTTCTGTCTCTCCCAGTCCTACAGCCATTCAGTCCCAAATAAACATACAGAGGCTTATATTAATTATAAACTGTTTGGCCTATTGCTCAGACTTATTACTGACTAGCTCTTACAACTTAAATTAACCCATAATTCTTATCTATATTTAGCCACATGTCTTGGTACCTTTTCTCAATGAACCATTCTCAGCTTGCTTCCTCTGTTTCTGGTTTGCAACTGTGTCTCTGGCTTTCCTCTTCTCAGAATCCTAGTCTGGTGGCTCTGTGTATACTTCCTGCCTGGATACTGGACTCTCAGCATTTTATTAAACTAATACAAATGGCAAATCTTTACAGTGTACAAGAGCATTGTCCCAAATCAGTACAACACATTGTTATGTTCCTCATTAGATAAATCTAAATTATTCAGTGTTTTGTGTCACTTGAGCAAAGCAACTTACATGAGAAATATTTGCTTGGCACACAGTTTCCTAGTTGAACATGGCCAAAAGAATGTGGCAGAGGACAGTAGAAACAGAGAAAACGGTAACTACAGGAGCAGGTGAGGTCAAGACAGGTCTTTCAATAACACATCTCAGTGTTCTACTTCCTTCAACTTAAACCTGTCTTGCACTTTCCGGTTATCTCTCATTCATTAAAGGATAAGTCCATTCATTAGATTAGATCCCCACTCACCCTAGATGACCCTCGGACAATACCTTACTAATATCCTAGCAGTTTCTCATCAGAGTAGATAGCAGTTGTTAACCTCCATTAGTCTGCAGAATGTTAAATGCATGCTTTGTCTTTGAGTTGGATACTCAGTATGCATATGTTGGACAAGCACACGGTGAGCATGTGTTATGGGCTATTGTCACAGAAATCTTAAATATGCAAGTAGGTAAGATATTTTCAAAGTGCTTCCTACTTGAGGCTATTTATATACAATAAATGTCTTAATCAGTGCCTTAGTGATGTATAATATGAGGCAAGAGGGACTATCTGGGAAATAGTACATTTGCATAATAATCTATAAAATTATTCTCTTTCCTTGTATTAAGAAGTGTTGATCTACTTGATCTAGGATTATTTAACATCTCATTCATT